ACCTTAGCACTCACACATTTCTTCCTATTTTACACCATGTATAACTTACATGTACAAGGCAGGTAGGCTGGTGCTAGGGTAGTGCTTTCCTAGGGTTACCCTACCTGCATTGTAGACATCCTGCTGGGGATACTTTGCCTATCCAGGAAAACTAGAAGTTATCCAATTTTTGAGCTAACCAATAGGTATTTTCTGTTATACAATGATACTATCTGTCTGTCTTTTCCTTTTTTTGCTTGTTTGTTTTTCGTGAATTCAATGTCTTTTTCCACAGGGGTCTTTAAGATTTCAGTCAAATCTTAGACATGGCAAAGAACGCCTATTTTAGTCTTATGGTCACACATGATGAAACACGTCATTCAAGCATGTATACTCGACCCGAGTGATAGGGTAACCCTACTTAGAAAATTTGCTTGGGTTATCTTTAATGTGCTTGCTAGGATAACCCTACCACAATGGTTAGCCCCTTTTAAACAGGCCCTAAACCCCGGGGCGGATCTAGGATAAATACTGACCCATTTCCTACTTCTACGGAGCTCTGGGGGCATGCCCCCCAGGGAATTTTTTTTGCTGGGTCTCTGAGTCGTTCAGAAAGGAAATTTACTGACTAAACAAACCATTTTTCAGATTTTAACTTGAAAAGTTTAAAGTTTTTTTACTTAAAATATAGTTATAATGAAAAATCTGGAAACCGGTATGGATCCGCGCCTGAAACACATATACATATATGTAAATAACTGTTTGAAAAGTTGGAGGGATGATTGGCATCAACTCAGGTGCCGTATCCAGTCATAGGCTTGGGCAGATTTTTCTATAAGGCCATTATGGGTTCAATAGTATTCAAAGCACTGTACATAGAAAAAAATGTTTGAAATAGATCATCTTTTTCTGTATTGTAAAAAATTAACAAAAAATGTTCAACATCAATATGCTATCAATATTCTTGCAGGTAATTGTCCAAACAGCCAATCAGAACTACTCTTTGGGTAACCTAAAGAAGTTCTTTTTAGATATTGGATACCCTGATGCTATCAACATCAGTGGACTTGTCCCGCCGATTTGGATTAGAGAACCACCCAATGTGACTCTGTATTGTCTGTATGGTACTGATATACCCACCCCCGAAAAATTCCTTTATCAAGTGGACGAATTTCCTGATACTTTCCCCAAAACTAAGTTTGGAGATGGTGATGGCACAGTCAACATTCGCAGCCTGAAAGCTTGTCACTCTTTTGTGGGTAAACAGGAGCAACAAGTGGTGATAAAATCATTTTCCAAGGCGGAACACATGGCCATGGTCGGAGACTCTAGGGTTATTGAATTTGTAAAAAATATAATCACTTCAATGGAGTAATATTAGGGGACTTCACAAGGCTAAAAGACTATTTTCAACTATTAACGTAAATCCTTTCACAGACGTACATCAGCGTTTGGTTCAATTCGTGTAAGCACTGTAATAAGCACTGGCTCAAGGGTTCAAACCCCGCGTCCTCATCGGCCAGTGGCTGAATACCGTAAACTTCCGTTTATATGCCCCACCCCCCAACCCCCACACTTACAAGGCCCCTATCTACCTGTAAACTAAAAGTACATCTGGTTATAAGCCCTGCTGAACATAAGCCCCCCTCTAGCTTGTATTGAATTGATTTTTTACGACGTTTTGAAGCATAAAAACGCGAGTGAATTCAAGATGTATTTTGATCTGCACTGCTAGATAGCTTGTTTTGAAATGTGTTTTTAGTCCGGTTATAAGCCCCGCTGGATATACCCCCTCCCCCTTTTTTTCAAGCCCTCCTATGACCCCTTATCGCCCCATATAAGGAATTCCAAAATTCGGGAAAGTTTTGCTTGTGGAATCCGGAATAATGCGGAAGAATTCGGAATCCCATCAACGATTGAAATCCAGACTCCCAAGTTCCAATGCCAAAGACTGGAATCCATTACTTGGAATCCGGAATCCACAGCTTGGAATCCACGATCCAAGACTGTCCTGTTTTCCCTTACATGGGGCGACCCTTAAGACGTTGTATAAGCCCAGGATTTTTAGCGGAAGTTTACAGTAAGTAAAAAGTCTAATGACTTTGATGGACTAGTGTTAAAGGCTAAGATGATCCACTTTCAGTAAAAGAGCCTGATTTTGTAATCTTGCCTAGTGTGTAGTAATAGATGTAGAAAACTAGTCGTACATTTGTAAGGTATCTTTTCTTCGTTGTTTTATAAGTAACGCAACTGAGGTTTTTATCTTTTATCTTTTAAAATATCACATGTGAAGGTATGAATATTTTATGTACATTCTGTCCTCTCCACTCAATCATCTCATTTTGTATTCACTGCATTTTGACCATAAAAATGGAGATTTTTGCATCTCTTGGTATAACATGTTTAGTCTTCGTTGACTAGATACCTACTGTAAATGACCTAATAAACGCCCACTTCCAAATAAACGCCCCTCTACACTGTTAAAATTGTATTAGACGCCCCTCTCTAATAAACGCTCCCATTGGGGATTACCCCAAATACTAGGAATTAGCAAAAGGGAACAAAATGATTCGATCCATTCAGTTTCTTGCTTGATTAACAAGGCTTTGCGTAATGTATCTTGATCAATGTCAAGTTCAAGTATGGATAGTAACCGTGAGCGAGGATTCTGACATCGATGTTGGGATTTGAAGGCGGTATGGATCTCTAGAAGACCTAGACGTATCAATTGATGGAGTGGTTTAAACTCTCTTGGTATTTTTCGCCGAAATCATATTCGTTTTGTTGAGCTTGTTACTGCTATAAATAAACGCCTGCTATCTATTAAACACTCCCGGCTTGGACTCCTAAAATTGCATAGACGCCTCGGGGGCTACATTAGGTCATTACGGTATTTGCTGAGTAAGGTCACCTGTAATGTTATCTCGGGATTGCAAAGAGACCCAAGAGACGTAGTCGGTCGAACTCTTTAATTTTCTTGGCATCTACGTCTCCAGAAATCAGTGTTAGTGGAGAGAAGACCTTACAGATAAGAGTTTTCGATACTTTTGGCAGGTTCCTCATACCTATATTTAAAAGCTCTAAGATCAAAATTTAAATTCTCATTTGTTGCCCCTATTCATTTCCCACAGAAGAAGCGGGGAGAAGTTGATAAAATATCAAGCAAATTCGTCTTGTGTCGTCATGTCCGTAATTCTCATGGCTACCCTGTTTTGCATAGCGTTGATATGACAAGGAGAAATTTGATGCTGATCACTCTTAGGGCTTAAAGGGTTAACTATCGCGGAGACTTAGGTAGTGGATACTCCCGTTTTAGTATAAACACCATTTCAAGTAACTAACTAAAACGGATCCTTGGATGGTATAGCTGTTAGACTACTTTTACAAGTTGTGCCTCACTTCGTGGTAAAATAGGCACCATCAAAAATTATTATCTGACTGAAATAAACAATTTCATTTTGCATTTTCACTGAAGTTTCCCCCCTCCCCATCAAAACTGAACCGTTGCTAAATTAGTATTACAGTATCTCTAGGGCAAGGGAGGTGGAGGGGGTGGTCGACAGTGATATATATTCAAAAAAAATCTGCTATCACGTACACCAAAATTTCAAGACCCGCCCATAGACTGCACTCAGATTTTTGCCATCTGCAGCGCCTCGGTACAAGTACATCATGTTTCGCACCACGGATTAGTGTACTACTCGGGTCAAGACACACCGGGAAAATAATGTCTACGGGATCTACCAGTTGTTTTTGAACTACTTTAATATGTCACAATTTCCAATCCCGCGACAGCGAGCTAAATGTGTAGTCAACTGAAAATAAAGGCATACATTGCGTTGCTTACTTGTGAATCGACTATAAAAGCTTGATAAATAGAATCTAATCGAAAATGAAATCAGCAAACTTTCTTCAACGAATGTGAACATACTTACAATTTTGTAAGGAGTTATCCCGTTTATGACACGGCTATTTTCCTGTCTTATTTGAAGAAAAGGTACGAAACACTGTTTTCAATAACAGGATTCTTTCTCACTGAGCCTTCAATTCACCTAATCACGCTAGTCCCACAAGCGAGCTGAAAACTGATTGGCTAAATTCTAAGAAAGAATAATAATCTTGCGTGTTCGTTTTTTATCGCTAATAAAAACAATCAAAAAAATTCCGTGACTCAAAATTAATTACAGCTGTCAACGGAGTGCAAAACTAATCATCAAAACGGTCCGTGGGGGAAAAATGAATGCGTGTCGAACGAACCCCTCAAGGACGTCTGCGGGGAGGCTAATCATCAAGCCTGTTTGGAGAAAACAACAAATTGTGTTTCGATGAAATTGAAAATCTCTTTACTTTCCATTGTGCGATTTCCAACTGTAGGACAGAGAGCCAGTACCTCACCACTTCAGTTATGTCTTAACTAGGTCTTTATCCACTGGATATGGTTTCCATATTGCTTTAACCGCTAGATAGTAATTTTATTCGATGGATAGCGCTATCCAACGCCGTTTGAACATGGCTTGGAGACTCCAGCGGCGTCCGATTCCGTCAGTGCATTTCTGGAACACATCTAGTTCAAACTACATTTTGAGTTTGCAGATAAATAGCCATTTAAATAAATATTTTCAGTGGGACATTCGCGTGGCACTATTTACTTCGTATATACTAAAAAACTTTGATACTTTTAAGTATCAAAGTTTTTCATTCTCTATAATGATGTTCGACAAAACAGGATAAATTAAAAGGGGATTACGATGGGTATAGGGCCTATGTGGGAGATTATCTCTGGCCCCTTTATATCCTCTCTTGTGGTCGAAACATGGAATAACGTTTATCTGTCTTCAAAAGTCCAACTTTTGAGTCTAAACTGAAACTTCAAGTACGGTGACGATCCAAAAGAAACTAGCAGTTCTTTCAGTTGGTACTATTTATTTCTCAGTTTTCAATATTCTTTAAGAAGAAATTTGGTATAGACATCTCTGGAGTGTGAGCATCTTGGGAATGAAAGGTTTGATTCCGCAAACTGACTATGCGAATCTCAATAAAGTAAAACCCTTGTCAGCTAACTGTCGCTTTAATCTGTTAAGGTATCCGGGGTCCGGATATCCGTAACTGTGAGGAGAAAAGAATAAAAATAAGCAAGCTTGAGAGTGAGATTGCGATTTCTACTCGTTAAAAATTGTACCCGATATATGTGAAAACACTGATTTCGAACAGAATTTTCGCTAATTTTCATAAGGGTTGAACAACGAATTTTACAAGTGGGGTATGCAATGAAAGGGGAAGATACGCCATACCCTGGGAATCCCAGGGGGAGAATCAGATAGAGTTGGCCGTGGTAACCCTTCTCGTCGAAGTAAGGGTTAATTCGTGCCAAAAGACGGTTGTCCCCATTCATACCAGAGCACTTCCAGGACGTCTGGACAAAAATGCGTCTTCTCTAACCCAAACGGCTTAAACGTCTGATACTAAGAGGTCTATAAAGTGAGTCAATCAGACGTTTTTAAACGTCTGACTTTAAAAGTCTTTTCGTGTTTAATGCATTTTCCTTATTTGAAGTCGTAACCGTATCAGACGTATTGGACGTTCTCTAATATATGTGGCCAGGCACTTCCCTTTGATATACAAAGGACCTTACTCACTTTGATGGACCGCCTTGTAGACTCGTTTTCAGTTCCAAACCATTGCGCACGATACTATTCTCTGCGATTGTGAACATATGATTTGCATTGAACGCTCTCCTCAAAAGCACGGAGAGCTCTCGCCCCTCTTCGTTGTCAGGAAGGTAGAATGTGCAGAAGTAACAGTAGTAAGGTACGCCTGGATTAGGATGGTGTTCGCCTGAAAATGTGAAGTATTATTTGTATATTTTCACAGGCAGCCTAAGCGCACTATGTGAGTGAATTCCTGGAAGATGACTCAATGGAATTCCAGCCAATTTTAATGCCTTTTTGTCATTTTCCTAGTGTACTTTTAATTAGTTTATTCTGCAAAAAATTAATTCTAAAAGTGCCTACAATTCGAGTCAGAAACGACCAAACCGCGTGATATAATAATACAAGGGATGTCAACCATAGTTAAGTGGCATTCGCCCTGTAAACAAAGAACACGTTCGCAAAAAAAAATGAACAGAAAATTACAGCCGATAACACGACGCAGATTGCAACCATGGACGTGCTTGTACCTAACCTACATATTGTGTCTTATGCTAATCCTGCACTCAAATTAACTCATTTAGTCCAGGCAACAAGGGAGAAAGGGATAAACATTTTTGTATCGCCCATGAAGGACGTCCTGTTTGGAGTCAAAGTATAAATTAAAGCCAAAACGAATAAGAATCCGTTTTCTAATAGTCGAATTAATAAAACAACAATTAAAAGACGTACCTTGAACTCCTCTGTCAAAGTTGCAGCTTATTATTATAGTCCCATAATCTTCATTGCCCGGGAGAAAGTTTCTTGGTTCAGTCCTCCAACTCATATGTCCGTCAGGTTGATCTCCAAATAAGATTCTACCTCCTAAATCCCTTGAGTACTGACACGATACACAGTAACCAAGGGACTGCATTGTGTGATGAAAACATGAAGACATTTGCTTACTAGAATTATAGCTGCACAAGTTGCAGGTTAAAGCTCGGTTTGACTGGAGACTCACTGGTAGGCCTGATATTTGATTATGTGAAAAAACGTAAATTAGTAAAGTAAACTGAGTAAGGTTGGTTATTTAAGAAACTGACAATTAAAATCAAAACTTCCCTTCGCTAGTCCCCTTGGTTCGCGCTCCTCATTGATTCTTTTGTTTGTTCGTTTGTTTGTTTTTTAATTTCCTCTCTATGATTCTGATCTTTCTTTCTTTTTTATTTTTAAGTTACAAACTCAATATGTTAAGATCAAAAGAAGTCGAAAAAGAATTTTTTTTAAGTCTGTTATTTCGGGGGCTATGACGTTTCCTGTATCCACTGATCGGATGTCAACACCGACTTTGTCCACGCTAGAGTAAGTTATTTGTCCCTGCGAATTCCTTGTTTCTATCTTAAAAGAGCACACTTCGTCTTCAGTACCTTCGGTAAGTCCCTTGCCATTTGCTGTTGTGAGCATAGGGTCGGTTTTAGTGAAGATTAACTTTCCAAGCACGTCGTTCATTGACGGTGATGTATCATTTGGAACGTACTTGACGCATGAATAATTCAGATTGACGCGAAATTCCGAAGAAAGTTCTTGAAACCGTTGATCCAGTATTTCTTCCACGTTCAAAATCTCTGGAAGATTTTCTCGAGCGAGAACGTCGCTGCTAAATACCAAGCTGCTGTCTATCTCAAAGAGTTTTTCGTCTAAGCGAGACATTTGGGATGAAAATGTACCTTGAAAAAAGTTTTTCTGCTCGAGCAACGTTTTGGTCATGGCTGCCTCATTTTGGCGAATGAAGCTGATCCATTGTTCAGCTTCCAGACAATTCTTACAGAAAGTGTGGAGACATTTTAGAATTTTGGGTTCGTTGACTTCACTGAACAACTCCCGACACACGGAACATTCTAACTCCTTTTTAAATTAACATCATCGAAAAAGCTTTTACCTTGAGCCATTCCTGAAGGTAATTAGCGAGACGATCGAAGCGAAACGATTCCCCGAAAGGCGGAAGTTTAACAACCTCGAATCTCACCCACTCAAAGACTCGTAAACAAATGTCGTCCCCAGACCACCTTCTCGTATGCTAAGGGACCAGTCATTATTTATCACCTGGGGGGTCGGAGGATTTTGGGGGGGATCACTTGATTTTTAGGAGAACAGAGGGGGGGATCAGTCGTAACTGAGAGCCCAAAAGGGGGGGATCACTGAAAATTTTGGAAGGATTCAGAGGGGGGAC